AGTTAGGGCTGGGCAAAAGTAATTATACTGTACTGAATTACAGTTAACTGTGTTATATTATACTTAAAATAAATTAATCTGTTTTTACTAAAAACTAAATAACTTATTTTTGGTTCAGTTTAAATAAACTGAACCTATTATACTTTTAGTACAGTTAACTGGTTTGAACTGTGTGAACTGGTGTGAACTTTGTTTTTATTTCTTTTAAGTCTTTTGAGTCCTTATTTCCACTTTCTCTCAGCGAGCGAAAACCCTACGCACTTCAAGACCTCCTCCTCCAACGAAAACCCTACGCACTTCAAGACCTCCTCCTCCAACGAAAACCCTACACAATTCAACAATGGTTTTATGAAGTTTTTAATATTTATTTTACTTTTCCAAATACAGAGGAGACCAATACGTTTGGCTTTGAAAGATTTGCGAGGAAGGTTGTTTGCTTCATCTTCCTTCACCATCCATGGTTCTGGTGGCTTGCACAAGTAGAGATGGAACAATGAATTGCTCAAAAGGTTTGCCATTGTAGCAGGTGATAAAGGAAAATCTGAAGCCACTGAAGTTGCTGTCACTGAAGGGAAAAAGACCTGGTATAGTAAAATAGGTTTTAAATATCTTTGTCCAAGCTGTTTATTGTCCATTCCTTCAATTCAAAGAGTTTTTACTACAACTCATATAAAGTGTAAAAGTTAAAAGAATGCTTCAGAATGAGAAGTTGTTTTCTTAACAAGATAATAGAAACTGTTATTTACAAATATCATAATTCTGACAGCACAAAAGATGTAACTGATGATGCTTTGCCTGGTAGTAATTGGTGATTACTTACTAGTTTGAAAGAAGCTTGTATAAATATTTTATTTAATCACTGTTTATATCATTGTTGTACTTTTTTTGGACAGTTTTTAGTTGCTTCTGCACCACCTTTGAACTAAGGATTTTAAAAAGCAAGATGCATTTGTAACTGGATTTGCTTTGCATCAAACTGAACTATACTATAGTAAACTGAAAAATAGTTTACTAAACTGCACTGTACTATAACTTAACTAAAAAATAGTTCAGTTCAGTTATTCTGAACTATTATTTAGTTCAGTTCAATTTTCTTAAATTGTTTTATAGTTAACTATAAATTTTTATAGTGCAGTACAGTATAGTACACTTTGCCCACCCCTAGTCTTAGTTTGGGATCACAAATGACTACTTTCTAATGGTAATGGAACAAAAATTGACATTATTATGTAAGGTGAAGCCACAATGTCATTGTGTAATCATTAAAAGAAATACACATATGTTTGAATTTTGATTTATTTGACTCATTTTGATATTTGATTTGGATAAATACATATTAATTTTTAGTTATGATTGACTCAACTTGATTCTTTAGTTTAGATCGACTCAACTCAATTCTTTGTTTCAGACAAACTCGATTCAATTCTTTGATTTGAGACAATTTTGATCTAATTCTTTGGATTAAGTCATTTATGTTTGAAAATTTTGACCTATGTTAACTCAATTTGATTTTTGATTTAGTAGACTATGACTTGATCCTAACTTATGATGACTGGATTCTACCTATTGACTTAGTTCAACTTGTTTCGAACTTCGATTCGAATCAAATCAACTTAACTCTTTGGCTTAAATCGACTTACTTGATTCTTTGATTCGAGCCAATTCAAATTGATCTTTTAACCTAAGTCTAGTCGATTTGATCTTCGGTCGAACTGGCTTGGCTCAACTATTGGTTCAAACTAACTCTTTTGTCTAATTTAATTTGACTTAACTTTTGTTCTAGACCAATATTACTCGACATTGAACCCAAGTCATTTGATTCAATTTGGTTTTCAACGGCCTTACTTTGACTTATATGTACTTAGATTTTAAATGTTTAAAAAATCTAAAAAATGGCCCAATCTAAATTCTATTTAAATTAGATTTGAATTTAAAATAAATCTATTTAAATAGACTTAAATAATATAGATTTAGAATTATTATGAATTGAATATTTTGTCCAGCCTAACTAACAACCCATTTTTGTGCTAATTGAAGGGTTTAATCAGTTAATATGTGAATTTCCCTTTTGAGTGTATATGAACATTTTTCATTTACATAATTTTGTGGTGGATAAAAAAATAATTGAACCTAAATTTTTTTGATGTTCCCCATTGTTAATGCACATTGCAAACCACTAATTTCCAAGTCTCCTTTTTAACTAACATTCAATTAAGCATTTAACTTGTAGAGGCAACTATAATTAGCTGACACATACGTGGATCCTTTCGTAAGTATCCCTTGCCAGCTTTCAAAAGGGTGAAGTGAAGTTCATTACCTTAGTTTATTGCAAAGTCAATACATAAAATTAAGACTCCTATAGGGATGTTTTCCACCAAAACAGAGACTTTAGCACCACTGCACGCTTCTTCTCCCTACTAATTTTATTATATATATGCCTAAGGAATGCGACTAACCTACAAATATATATATTTTTAACATATTTTCTTATGCCATTGTTAAGTTAATTTACCCTTAATTTTTTTAAAGGTCATAAAAAATTAATAGTATTATTAGTTAGTATCCTTGCACTCACGTTCACGTGGTTTCCCAACACCTATTCAGTTAAAATACAAAATAGAAGCAAAAGAGGAAATTACTATCATTATAACTGTACCTTTTCTTTTGCTCTAAACATTTTATTTTAGGCTAACCAACAAAAGTTGCATGCTTTCACCCAACCATTTCGCTTTCAATTAATGTTTCTTTCTTTCTTTGTTCTAACACTCATTAAAAATATTAACATCATTTTTTAAGCCCATTAATTTTTTGTTATAATTAAGTCAAGAGAAGCTAAAATGAGACAACCAATTAGTCGTAAACAAATACCGAATTGGGCTTTTACATATACCAATAACTAACAAGAGAAGCCATCAACTGTTGAAAAGAGAAATATTAACAGTCAAATTAGTGTCTTTTTAATGTCATTACGTAAGGTAGGAAGTGAGTTGCAACAAGTGATATTAAACGTCTTTGTATTTATAAGCTTATTATTTATTATTATCACCACATTAAAATGTGATTACGCATTAAGGGAACTAACTGTGTTTTTTGCAGTTTTGTAACCGACACCTAATTATAAGCCTATTCATTATTTGCAAGCAAGTTCAAAGCCGTTTTAATACACTTACTTGGGAGTCACATAATACTTTAATTTCATCAAAGTTAACGGACGAATAAAGAGTACTGTTTCTTTAGTTTACATTAAATCTTGCAACCTTATCGGTTTTTTTAATCATAGAAATTACACAAAAATACAGAACAAGAGAATACCTTAAGATTGTCACTTCAACTTTATGTATGGCTCACATTTAATTCTGAAAAAAAAAATTAGTATACACAGACTAGTCAATTCTCATGCCATTTATTGTGTTTTTCTTTTTCCACCCTTTTAATTATCCTTTTTTTAACTCTTCTATACTTTTCATTTTTAAAAACACTTTCTTAGTCTTTATTTACAAGATCCTTTTTTTAAATTTGTAATTTAAAAAAAAAGAATCTGATATATATTTAGGTGAAAAATACAAATCCGCTTTGTCTATGTAACAGAGGAATAGCTGTTAAATTTAAATCTATGAACGAAACGAACGAAGTTTCAAAGATGATAGCTACGGGTTTGTGGTATAGTAACAAACCTTGTCCTATAATGAAATCGTAAANGATATATATTTAGGTGAAAAATACAAATCCGCTTTGTCTATGTAACAGAGGAATAGCTGTTAAATTTAAATCTATGAACGAAACGAACGAAGTTTCAAAGATGATAGCTACGGGTTTGTGGTATAGTAACAAACCTTGTCCTATAATGAAATCGTAAAAGTTTAAAAAAGATGTATTATATTATTTACATTGCGTATAAAGAATTTCATAGAGTGAAACTATTGGAAGAGACGGGTGAAGCTCATAAATGTTATAAATATTGTATTCTAATGCTTCTATTATGGCTTTGTATCGTTCATAAACTCCACCAATCTATCCATCTATCTCCTCTGCCATTACTCGCTCATCACTTCATCGAAATTCATCGAAATTAAACCCAAAGTTCTTCTTTTGTATCCGTTTGATGAATATTTTGGATACGCGTAGTACTTTCTGACCTTGTCCGTGATGTTTTTTTTTATCCTCGTCTGTCTTTTCTTTTTACTATTTTAAAGGTGACTGTGTGACTTTTGTTTTGGGTGTTTGATTTGATCTCAAGATTTAAGGTTGAAGCGTCAGCGTGTTATTGTTATCTCCTGAGTAGTGTGTTTCTTAAACGTTGAACAAAGCAGAGTTTTCTTGAAGGCTTGGTTTAACAGCGACAGAGAGAGAAAAATAGCATTGTTTGTTTGCATAAAAATCCGTCTCCCCGTGTGTGGGTGTTGAATTTGCAACATTGTTTGTTGATTGATTGAGAAGAGAAAAAGGGAGAAGGAAAGAGACACACAGGGCGAAAAAAAGTGAAGGGTATTGAGATTTTGCGGGAAACTCGGTGTCTGAACGTCAAAAATTAGAAGTCTTTCCTTGTGGGGGCGATTTGCATTTTCAATTCTCTTTCATAGGCAAAATTGCAATCCCACAATCTCTCTCACTCTTCTTTTTTGTTTTTTGTTTTCTTCCCCATCTGGGTGGTTGCCTCTGTTTTTCAGGGTTGGGAGAGAAGCTAAAATCTCCATCTTCCCTCCCTTCTCTATATTTTTCTTCTCCCTTATCTATCGATCTCCAATACCATGATTTTCAGCAAAGGGTCAATGCATTCTAATCTTGATTGTTTCGTACGGTGTACCACACCCGTGGTTCAATCCCAGTTTCTTCCCAAGGTCTTGTCCTTTTCTTTTCTTTTCATTCTCTTATTTATTGTTCCTTGTGAGTATGTTGTCCTAAATTTTGTGTCGTTTATTTTGTGTGTTTGTAGTCTGAGATCACAAGCCTTAACCGTTTGTGGCATCCGTGGGAGAGAGAAAGCGTGGAATATTTCACGTTGGGGGATCTTTGGAATTGCTATGACGAATGGAGTGCTTATGGAGCCGGAGTTCCCATCTCCTTGACCAGCGGTGAGACACTCGTGCAGTACTACGTGCCTTATCTCTCAGCAGTTCAGATATTCACCAGCAACAGTTTCAGGTAGAATACCGTGAATCGAATCATCATAACTTGTATGCCATTTTGAGCTTCCACCATGAATAATATCTAGTTCTATGGATAACTTCAAGAATTTTAAATTGAAACAGGCAAAAAGAAAAAGAAAATCTTTTATTTTTTTGAGTTTTCTGATAGAGTGCACCATTTGGGTGAGATAGATAATGTTAATTTGTTATGGTCAAATATTCACGCGGGTTCCATGATGTTGCTTTTGGAAAATGGGTTGTTGAGCTTTTTATTTCTGCTGAGTGGTTTGGTGAATTACTGTGTGCATCATTGTCAGCTTTATGATATGGTAGTGATTTTTAGGAATTAATGCAGAAACTTGGATGAATGTATTTCAGGGAAGAGACTGAGTCAGGTGACTGTGAAACCAGGGATTCCTACAGTGAATCTTTGAGCGACGAGAGTGAGTGCGACAAGTTATGGAGGTGGGATGGAACTTCCTCGGAAGAGGGAGGAGGGTCTGAGCAAGATTCTCTCTGGCATTTCAATGACAGATTGGGTCACCTCTATTGCCAGTATTTTGAAAGAGCAACTCCATATGGAAGAGTTCCTCTCATGGATAAGGTGTGTTCTTGTTCATTAATGTCTGTCTTCTGATTTTTCTGTTCTTAAATGAGATTCCAACCAATTCATTAGGTATGGATCATGGAAAATTGAAAAGCACTTAAAGGCCAACTGCAATTACCAAAAGCCCTTTAAGGATAAACATCTGAAAAGATGCATACTTTGACTATTCA